AACATATTATTTAATTACTAAATTACTAAATATCGAAGGGATTAAGCTTTAAATAATAAAATGTTTAGCGGAGCAGATAAAGCAATTTTTATTTATAATTATAATGTTCAAGAATTTCTTAGTTATGAGAATGATATCTGTAATATCTTAAAATTATAAGAAACAAGAAGTTTCTCCCAAAGTGTCTAGAAAAACGTATAGAGGTACGTAGCTACTGAGATATTGCTAATGAGATCTTTTGTAAGATAAAATGAAAGGGAAAAAAAGTACACGGGAGAAATCTAACGTAACATCGGATTTCCTTGGTTATGTATAATACTATAGAAAAGAAAAGAAAGCCGTTTACGACGATCGAGAAAGGGAAGTGGATAAATGAGCTTTATGGTACGTTTCCTGTCACGCGACGCACGACACTCATCAGTAATCGCAAGAATGATGAGATTTTCTGCCACGTTATTTTATTAATTGATCTAGATAAATAGATGACATTATTAAAAACACTAATGCCACGCATCAATTAGTTGATTTACTAAAAACAATACATTTTTAAATAATAATAAAGTTGTATCGTTAGTCCTGCAGTACTAGTTCCGATTACTAAAAAATTTCTACAAAAAGTCATTTTTACGTGTAAATATTGGTCAAAGGAAATTTCTCATTAAATGACGATAATAATTGTTGCTACAATCTTTAGGATGTCTGAACGGAGGCATTGTATTAATAAATTAAAGCTTTTAATTGTATTGCGCATGCTTACAAGTATTGTGGTTCTATGCATGTAATGTATGAATTAATTATTGTTAAGATTATTTTGTATTAGTTGATAAAAGATCGATTGTATGTATCATCATAGAAGGTGTAAATTTGATTTAAAAAAAAAAAAAAAAAATTTCTCGTGTCTACGCTACTCGAACATTATGATATTGACAAATTATTTATGCAACGTGAATTGTGCACATATTAATTGGAGGGGGGGGGGACCAATAAACGTTCGAGTTAATAAGATCTCGTAAATACAAATATAAGCCGTATCGTAGTAAATATTGAACAGAAACGTTGTTTTATTCAGTAGGCGATTCAGAAACAGTCACCGAATCGATTCTGATCTACAAAAACTCATTTTCATAAAATAATTCTCTACGGGATTAGAATATTCAATTATACGCGTAATTCCAAAAAAAAAAAAAAAAAAAAAAAAAAAAAAAAAAAAAAAAAAAAAAAAAAAAAATAAATGTTGATGCAGTGATTCCATAAAGCATGTGCCTGGAAATGAAATGAGGGATTTTACATTAAAATTTATGCTATTGCCATTATCGAACGTATAGGTAAAATAAAAGAAAAAACAGAAGTTGTAACGAAATTTTTATCGATACTTGCTAATATAAAGGAGTTTCAGCGTGTTTTAGTTGTTTGCACAAATTAACAAAGATATTGCTGAAATTATTGGTGGTTCTGCGAGTACGTGTATCAGCTAGCTCTAAAGACATTATACAATGTATTTCTTACTCCAATTAAGCCTTATGTTTAGATTGAAAATTGTTTATTTTGCAATTTAATGTTTATAATCGAAAGTTGTTTATAGTAGTCTGTATTTAAAAGAAATAAGCAGAGAGAAAGTATGTTAAAAATAAGCGTCGTAGGAGAGTAATTAGAAAAAAGTGCATCGCGTTGCACTTGTAAGAAACGTAAAAGAAAAAAGAAGGAAAGAAGAAAAAAGAAAGAAATGTATTTAAGTAGAGTGAGAATGAAAAATGACAAGATTCAAAAGGCCTCGGTCAATAACGATAAAAGCGACAAGGGAAAATGAAGTCGACAGTACTCGAGTTTGGAGTCTCGGCCAAAGAGTCTTGCCAGTGTCAACCTCCCCCACTTACTAAACGAGTAGCTCTCATAACTTTAACGAATCCTGCCCTACACGTCTGCGATAAGATTATTGAGAAAGAAAGAAGGACGCGCGTTGGCGTGACTACTGAGAATCAAGTGCGGAGAGCAGAGACGACGCGGCATTAGGAAAGCCGAATTTAGCTCGTACGAGCCGCGCTCTAGAAATCTCCCTTTCGGTCCGTAGCCGCGTCATCTCCTCGCCTCGGGGGGAAGGGTAAAGCCAAACAAATACAGCCCGAGGAGCTTTGGAGGGTACGAGGGGGTGAGAGGCGGGCGGTCGGTTGCAGGCACACACCAGAGGATGTCCTTTGGCCTGGGTTGCCGCTCGCAGACCATAGTGCAGCTTCCACTTGCATTGGCCCATTGAGAGCCGACGCCAAGGTGGCGGTGGCGACGGCGGCGGCGGTGATGGCGGTGATGGCGGCAGCGGTGGCGGAGGCGGAGGTAGCTGTTACTCCAACGGCGTCGGCAGCTTCCTTCGGCTCTTTGAAAATGTGCGCCGCGACCCTCGCAGAACCGCGCCAATGGCCTACCCACCCCGATTGCAACGAGCGACCCTCTTCGGGCCTATGGTTATCGCGAAATCGCCTTCCGCCGCCTAAATGGATTCGGAAGTTGTTGCAGGCATGAGTAAGAGAAATAGCTCGAATACCAAGAATTCTCCCTTACTCACGCGGAAGTCATTTTCACTTTGTTTTTATGGTCGCGCAAAATTCCTTGCTACATAATAAACGGATAGGCTGAGTACCAATGAATCCAAAAATTCCTGAAGAAATTCGTACGAGCAATTCACGAGCTCCGTCGAGTGTAAGAGTTATATTTGCGTATGAAATTCCAATAAGGAAAGTAAAGAATAAGGAACGATCGTTTAAATCGGTCTCCCGAAAGTAAATCACATTTGACGAGGCAAAACATAGGGTAAAATTAAGGTTCTACCGAGCAATTATTTAAGGGGCGTTACGACACTTGAAAGAAAAATCATTCGTTATATTATGAAGCGATGATTCGACGACTAATGACAATAATATTGCAAATGTCGATATTAATGGGAACATATAATTGCACTCTTGATAATTATTTAAAAGTGACTGTGCATTTTCAATTAAAATAAGGACGATAGTTGTAGAATAATTTTCACGACTGCGCGCTTCCTTCGTGACAAGCTATAAATAATTTATTAAAAGCCCGACGTCAAGTCGCATATCTTATAAATAATTACGAAAATACATCGATAATTATAACAAATCCAAGCAAAAAATCCAATTTATAAGATATATATGCAATATATTTATTTGAAAACTGTTGATCATTTATAACTAGTCAGAAAGTGTTTAAAAAGAAAAACAAACAAAAAAAATTAAATTTCATAAGATTTTATGTTTTGTACACAAGTGAGATTATAATTCATCGTTACATCGTTACAATATTTCTCAAGATTGTGGATCGGAATAATTGAGTAGGAAATCTTATTATGTCCGCGACTTTCCAAGATTTTACGGATATTTTAACGAAGCGCCGATTTTACACCATTAAAATTTACTTTATTTTCAATAAAAAATATCCTTAATCGGCTAGTGTTAGTTTTAATACAATTGAACTCGTACGATTATTAAGTAATCGTTTGAGTATAATTTTTGCAATACTAATGACAGGATTTTTTTCTATTTTCATCATTATTGTAATTCAAAATGTATGTTCAGGTTATACATTAGGGTCATTGATTTTTAAATTATGAGTAATACGAGTCACAAATCAACAATCTTACTTTTACTATTTTCCTTCTCTTATTAACCTTATCTATTATGTTTGTTACGGTTGAATTTTTTTTTTTTTTTTTTTTTTTTTTTTTTTTTTTATTATAATGACAGTTCTTAATGGCAGCCGTAATGTAATCGTTTTTAATCAAATTAATAAATTAATTGAAAAAATAACGATATTCTCTAAATGTATGTAGAAATTGTCGCGAATTTTGAAGTAATTGAAATCCTTGTGGGATACGACTATAACATGGGGTGTCTAAAGTACTTACAATTGATTTACTTTCAACATTTTATATTTTCAATTATAAAATATGTACGAATAATTGTATTTACAAGGTCGTGATTCGGTTAAGTGAATAATTCGTCACGGCTACGATTAACAATACCTACCTTTAATATCAAATGTTTATAATTATTGCTAATTACTACCATTACTATCACTACCAGTGCACGTAATACCTGCCAGTAATGGCAGTAGCATAGAATTTTCAATCACCGACCGTCCCCAATTATGTTTACATATTACGTATATTTGGCGAGCAAAAGTGCGTTTATGCGATTTTTACGCCTCTCTATTGATCGATAAGCTTATGCTCCCCGCGGAGCTCGATAATGCCTAATGTAATAGCGATATATCGGTTAAAGCGCGAACGCCCTTACGGTGGTAAATTGTCAAAGATATCGAGAAAGCGGATTAACCGTGCAGCCGATAGAATCTCGAGTCTATCAGTCTGAAAAGACAAATGTTCTCATGATCGCCTGAGCTAGGATTGACTTTTGTTCGCCCAGGCATTCGAATCCCTGTTTCCGCCTCGAACTTTGAATGTCGTGGAGAAATCGCTCGAGTATTGTTGGTTTGTATTTGTAATTGGAGCTGTTACAGGAAGGAAAGAAAAAGAGCGAATAAAAGTGATCGGTGGTGGGGTGGGTGGGGGAGGGTGGGGGAGGGTGTCTGTAGTCTCGGGCGCGAAGTCGTCCAACTGGACGCGGCGATCGGTCGCGCTTAAAATAAAAAAAGAGCGAGCGAGATAAAGGTCGCGGATTTTGGTCGACGGTCTAGCATCGGCCCGACCGTGTCTACCGCCGAGTCCCGGTCGTAAGGACGAGCGCGGAGCCGCGAACGCGGCCCCCGGCCCCCGGGGATACGCCCTGCTCCCAATGAGGGGTTGCGCGCGCCGATGGGTGTGGTGAGGACTTCGCCAATCGGCAGGGCCCGAGCGCCCGAAGGTCCACCCACGTCCCTCGGCTCCTTTCTCGGATCCTTTGGCGGCGGCGCGACTCGGGCCGGTCGAAACCTCGGCCTCGGCAACACTCGATCTGGCTCAGTTCGCCTCGACGATCCGAATCGTACGGGCGTTGACCAAGCGAAGCGTCTCGCACGCGGCTGCGCCACACGCGGACACACCAGGCACCTGCACGGCTGACTCAACAGGTCCAAAGTCACGGGCTGTTCGGGAATCCCTGGCCAAGTCGACGCAATGGCGATGAACCTCGTGAGCCCGCTGAGTATGCAGCTCCACGTGCACCAGCAGATGCTCTACCAGCAGCATCGGATGGCGCTCCACCATTATCAACAAGGTAAGTCTCGGCTACGACAACATCATCCGACCTTGCATTATAATGTTAAACCCCTCATCCACGTAGCGACAAGTAGTGACTCTGTTACGAGCCTCTCTCTCTCTCTCTCTCTCTCTCTCTCTCTCTCTCTCTCTCTCTCTCTATCTATCTATCTATCTATCTATCTATCTATCTATCTATCTATCTATCTATCTATCTATCTATCTATCTATCTATCTATCTATCTATCTATCTATCTATCTATCTATCTATCTATCTATCTATCTATCTATCTATCTATCTATCTATCTATCTATCTATCTATCTATCTATCTATCTATCTATCTATCTATCAGATAATAATCGCGAGTTTAATGATCGGAGTTCAATGATTATCATCAATGATTAACATTTACAAGGACACGAGTCGTGGCTTTTAATGATTTGTCGATGCAGATTCGTGGCATGAAAGTGATTTCCTCATATTCCGTCATTCTTTAAATTCATAATTGATGAAATAATCAACATTGGCCTTATCTTGCCAAATAATGCCATATAATGCGACTATGTTGCGTTATGTCAGAATCTAATCTGCTTGAGCGAACATTGGAACATCGAATCGCTTGTATGTAACGGACACTTCCGCGCGATATTAATTCACTGGCCACTTCAAGGGGATAAGCCTTCGCAAGATCTAGCAAGATTTGAGCGAAGATCGAGCGATAAATATAGATTTTAATGCTCAGCGCGAGCATAAGCGTATGAGGTAACGAGCTTCTTTAGCTTTAGCATAAGCTGGAAAAAGCTTTGAAAATAAGGAAGGCGATGTAGACATGAAATTTGTTATCGAATTTAATAACTCGGCGATAAGAGCGCCACGTGCAAACGCGCCACCGTTACGCCGTTACGATGGATCTCCCAATGCGCGTAATTCGAGGCTTCCGCGACGCCACTATTCCATCTCATCACATCCTCTTTGTCGTCCCATAAAAAAAAAAGAGAAGAGAGAGCTAGAGAGAGAGAGAGCTAGAGAGAGAGAGAGAGAATGAGAGAGAGAATGAGAGAGAGAGAGAGAGAGAGAGAGAGAGAGAGAGGAGCCAGGTCGGCGCCGTCAGCCGACTATCTTCCGAGCGGAGGAGCGAGGTGGGTGGAGGCGAGCAAAAAGCACCCGACAAAACGAGGGGGACGACCTCCCCTTAATTAGCGGGAGTGGCGCGATGTTGATTGCGCAATCACGTGCGATTTCATAATCACCTCATCAGAGGCCTTCTACTCCTCGTTTATCGTCCCTTCGGTGACTGAAATATGCGCGCGCGCGCGCGCAAGTTTGGATCCTGGCTTTACGAGCGATGCGCAAACTCGGGAATGGAAAAGAAAAAGAAGGTAAAAAAAAGAGGAAAAGACGACCCTGTTGGTCCCGTCCTCGGGGCAAGCCTGTCATTATTGAAGCGACGTCGGTGGATGTTCGCGCACCTCCCGGGTCGGCACATTTTTTTCCTCTTTATTGGCGCGCACGCGCGCCTTGTCGCATGCTCTCCGTCTTCCTTTTTCAATACCCTCGGTCAGCGGTCGCTTTAAGGAAGCTGTAAACCGCGCTAACCGTTGACGTCTCTTTTCTAACTTTTATTGCTATCTATATTTCACGCTAGAAACGAAAGTTTCGAGCCGATATCCTTTTTCACAAGTTCGACAATAATTCTTTACTTTGTTAGACGTGCCTTCCATTAACAATGACGAGCCCTTACGCATTCTTATGGCACAGTACTTGTTCGCAACCATAATTCATGCCGAAAGAGAACAACGCATTTAAATTTGTATTGTTCGTGTTGTATGACGAATAAACTTGCTCGTTCCGTTTACGTAAGTTAAAATTAAGTATTCGCAATCGTATTAAAAAATATTTTAATATCGCCGTCGTCCTGCTCGTCGTTGTTATGTTTGTTCTTCTCCTTGGTGTTACTGTCTTTTCTTACTCTTGTTACTACTATTTCTAATGCTGTTGTTGTCGTTCTGGCGTTTGATGTTAATGTTTTTGTCATTGATGCTATTGAAATTGGCTTTATTGTTGTCGTTGTTATTATTGTCGTTATTGTTATTGTTATTGCCATCGTTATTATTGTTGTTATTATTATTATTGTCGTCGTCGTCGTCGTCGTCGTCGTCGCCGTCGTCGTCGTCGCCGTCGTTGCTGCTGTTGTTGTTGTTGGTATTATTGTTACTATGGTTGTTATTATATTGTTTAAAGGGCGTCATTAGAGTAGTCATTAGTTTATTTCAAAATTAATTCATAATATCCCTAATGGATTTAACGAGAGCGCTCCCAAAATACAATTCTCAAACCACGAGAGCCGAATGAATTAGCTATTTACTCAATAATGACAATGAATTTGTAGATTTTTTTTTTTTTTTTTTTTAATGAATAAGGCATAAACGAATGTATAATCAATATAACTAAAAACTAATACAATTATTAGAAATTGGTTGCACTATAATTAACCTAACCGTAAAAGGATTATTTAAAATTATGGTAAAATAGCCGGCAGAACTATAAGGATTTCGATTTATGGTGCGCACTTTCGAAAAATGAAAGAAAGAAAGAGTAATTAAGAATAGAACGCTTGATTTTATCACGCAAGATTTTAAAGCGTGCAAGACCATTGGCGCGTCGTCGGTCGAGTCATCGTCGCCTCCCGTCCGAGTCCGATGTTATATTACTCGTCCCTTGGCTTCGGCCGACAGGTTTTTCGGTCTTTTTTCAAAGGAGCAAGGCTCGACGACAAGGTGATGTACCGTCGCACCTCGGCTTTCTCGTGTTTTGCTGCTTGTCTAGGTCCTCATTAAGATAGCCGCGGGTGCACCGGTTACGCGACGAAAACTTCGTTCCAATGAGAATATTTTCAACTGGATTTTTTTTCTTTTCTTTTTTTTTTTCTTTCTTTTTTTTTTCGAAAAATAGGCTTCGATTTTTCACAGCGATAACAAATTATATGCCCATGAAATATAATATATTGTCTATTAATAAGAACGCGAGATCCTATCCCATCCTCGAACCTCATTATTCCTTCCATCTAACGAACTCAATTTTACTTCTTTAATCGCTGCGTTTTCAAAAGCTGCTTTTTTTTTTTAATATATACATTACAACATTATGAATGTGGTTGTTGTTATTTAAATTTTTCTTTCCTCATTAGAATGCTTACATTTATTTTGTTTGCGGTGAGGGGGGTGGGTGGGTGGGAAGGGAATTACATGATGTCGAATTTAAGGCATTTGATGCATTCGATTTCGGCTTCAATACAAAAATTTAATGAAAATATCCTAATTTTTATAATACTTTGTCTCTATAATTACCCCTATAAATATTCATAAAAGACTAACAAAAATATTTATCAATATTGAATATTTATATTAACTATGATTAGATGTTATCATTAAGGAAGCAATTTATCATCAACTTATTATAAATAATGTACTTTTCCAAGTAAACCATACCTCATTACATCAGATTTCATATATATTTGTATATATATAATAAAACATAATTAATTACTTAATAAAATAATATTAACTGTTAAATTGTTTTTCGTACGATATATTTTAATTCTATAATATTAATGGCCAACGATTATTCAGCTAATTGTAGATGCAAAAATATATAAGAGTATGGTTTTATAGATTCTAAGTGAAAAGTTATCTCGTTTGCAATATTGCAATAATTATCTATAGGTAGGATAATTAATTATCGATAGAGGTCCTTAATAAGTGTAACGATTCCGATGTTGAATTAATTATGGAAGATTATTGTAACGCCTCGTTATCGATCCGCACCAGACGAAAGACAATGTTTAATTAATATCGTGATTTAATGGTTAAACAATAATAAATAATGATCGTATAAGTCATTAGTTTATAAGATTTTGCTAACCAGATACATCATTTGTCAAAAATTCCGAGTGAAAAACTGTAGAGACGTCACTTGTCCTCTTGTAACGAGCTTCAATTTTTACTACCTTGTGGTTTCCGGACATTTTGATTTTTACGATTGTTCCCAGAGTCTTGTTTGTCATCCATTATAAAGAGGTGGAGCTCTGCGGAATGATTGAATTTATTCTTTTGTCTCTAAAGGTCTATAATAACACAGAAGGCAATGTTTGCCGAAGACCGAAAAGCTGCGCGTGGTTATCCTTTATTTTACCATCGTTTCAGCCACTTGACAGGATATTTGACTTTTTGACGTCAAAGAAAGCGAACTACTTTTTATTTACTCGGAGGCTTTCTTTTGTCTTTAAAGACCTTGTCCTTATAGTTTTGCGTTCCGTACAAATAATAATATCGGCAAGGCAAATGACATGTAAAAATAGAGGTCAAAAGGTAAGGTGGCGTTGGACGTTTCAACCAATTTTTTTTGTATTTTCTCTGTTGCGTGCGACGACATATTTCCGTTAATTTGTTCGCCAAACTTATAATAATAATATTGATAATAACAATGATAACAATAATAACAAAAAATAACAACAATTACAATGATTACAACGACGACGACAACAACAACAACAACAACAACAACAACAACAACAACAACAACAACAACAACAACAACAACAACAACAACAACAACAACAACAACAACAACAACAACAATAATAATAATAATAATTATTATTATTATTATTATTATTATTATTATATAGATGAGGATTATGAATAAGAGGGAACAATAAAGTTGTAAGAGGTAAGGAGCTCGAGTAGTTTGCAAGTTTTAAAAGGTGCAAATCGTCTGTAATGCTGCTGCCTCCATTCCCCCAGCCTCACCATTTGGTTTGGGAATCGCAAAACGTCGATTCAATCTCCGGCGGCGCATTTTTTGAATTCCCAACGTTTTCCCGCAGAGATAAAAGGTTCGAATAAAAAAAACAAAAAGAGCGAGGACAAGATAAATAAAATGACCACCGCGAAAGCACGGAAGGTTCCTCGAAAACCGGGGTGGAGCGAGGTGGTGGTGGTGGCGGTGAACGGAAAGAGGACGGACTCGGGGGCGGGAGGGAGGGATAACTAGGAGCTACTAATTTTTGTAAAAACATGCAACGTAATGCTGTGGAATTCTTTTTCCTTTTCCATTAGCAATTTAATCATATGGCTTATGCGGCGCCACACGACGTCCCAATTTTCAGCTCAAACGGCTGTCGAACTTGGTTCCTTATCTAAGCGCTACCAGTTGGGCAAAGTAGCCTTTATCGTCGGCGCACTTTCGACTTGGATCCTCTCACATAAATCGTATTAAGCGAGAAGGTAGCGAAAAGCTCGGTCGGTCGATCGGTCGGTCGGTCGGTCGGTCGGTCGGTCGGTCGGTCGCTTGGTAGGTCGGTCGCCACCGCCACCGCCACCGCCGTTGCCGCCGTCGCCACCGCCGCGATCACGTCCACGTGTGGGAACGAGGATAATTCGCAACGAGTATATAATCCGACATAGGCGGCGTCGACGGCGGTGGTAGCGGACACAGAGAGAGAGAGAGAGAGAGAGAGAGAGAGAGAGAGAGAGAGAGGCGAAAGTTCCCGAAAAGTAGGAGTACCGCGCAGCTGCGAGTGGGAAAGTGGCCGCGAAGCCGCGCGCGTACTCAGGCTCATGCCGCAAGCCGCCGGCCTCCCGGATGATCAAAGGCGCCGCTGGCCGCCGAACCGGACAATCGTTATCTAGTGGCCGTGAAGAGGAGGCGACGCGACGCCGCGCGCGGGCCAATTATGCGCCCGGGCCCGGGCATTTGAAAGAGGATCTCGGCCGGATCCCATTCAGCGGCGTTAATCCGCCATCGACACCTCTTTCCGATCGGGGCCGCACCCCCGCTGGGCCAGCCGCAACGGAGCCGCCCGCCGAGGAGGCCGGAGCGACGGAGGAAGTGCAACAGACGCGAAAAGAAGGTCGGCCATGCGAACGAGGGACGCGACAATGCGCCTGGCGTCGAGAGATCATTGTTTGAGAGCTTTCGAGCGCCCTGTGGCTCACTTCGAGGGCCGCCTCGTCTACCTTGTTTCCGCTTTTCTTTCACCTCCCCCTTAGCTCCTTCCCCTCCCACATCTTCTCACTCGACAGCTCGTTCTCTCTCTCTCTCTCTCTCTCTCTCTCTAGCTCTCACATACACACACACACACGCACACACGCGCGCGCGCGCGCACCTCATCTCGTCGCATCGCGTTAGCTCTCTATTATGCGCTCGTTGGCGCCCTCACGAGGCCGACCATCGGCATTTCGTGACATTGACGTCTTCGTGTCGAGCAAAGGCCCGATTCTCCCCCCGATCATCCTTCGGTCTTCGGGCAATTCGCACGTGAAATCGATGAAAGCGCGACGATTTACAGCCTCACGGTCTCTTCCGCCCGCTGGAATGCCAAGACTCTGGAATGCGCTGGTAAACTGCCCTCCTCTCACCGCCCACCCCTTGCTCTCACTTTATCGTCAATCATTTTTCATTCGATCTGCGCCTGATAACCAGGAAAAATAATATAAAAATGACTGGCGCGGGCTCGTCCGCTCGGCCCTTACATTTAAAAGCTAAGGATTATTTTGCCAACCTACGTCCCCACTTATAAATCCTACCCTTGCCTTAATTTTCCTTAGCATAGGACTAAAGAGCCATTAAGATTTATGCGCTTTGGAATAATGTAAGGCAATTTGATGATTGGATAAGTAATGTGCTCGAGTACTAATTACTTTGAGAAGCGAAAGTAGCAATAACCCGACTAAGGAGCAATAAAAATTTGCCCTACTAATAGTACTGTAACAACGAATCTACGGTTAAATTAAGCCGACAAATTCTAATTACTCTATTATTCGAAATCCATTTGTAATGGATAATTTCATTACGATTCTGCCAACTTGTGCGTGCTGTTAACGATAATTGTGTGTGTGTGTGCGCGCGCGCGGGCGCTCGTCCCCTGGCCCCAAAACATCATTGTTTATTTAATTTTCAGATGAGATAACAAATACGAATGGATGGTCCGCGATGCTGAATGCGCCGACCGCGGGCCCTCAACTTCCCGACGACGTCAAAGTCCAACTTGAGAACAAAAAGTTGTGGCAACAATTTCACGCCGAGAGTACAGAAATGATCATCACGAAATCTGGAAGGTGAGTTATAATAATCGATAATCAACACAAAATACAAAATCAACCCCAACGATATTAATTTTCCTAGGCATCCTACTTGACTACGTAAAGCTTATGTTTACCTACAAATTATAATATCCATTATAACCTTACTTTTTCATTTTCAACACACGCACGCGTCAATGCATATCTGCATTTATATAAAAATTGTGTGCGATGGGCTTTGTCGCAATAAAGAAATTATGTCTAAAAAATTATGGTATAAAGTAGAGAAGACTGTAAAGCACATTCTAGGCACATTTCGTGAAAACAAATGGATATTAGAGCTAGAAACGCATAAGCATAATGACACGGGACGAAAATAGATGTATCAGGTGTAATTGTATTTATTACACTCGTTTCCCTATAGTGTTTCTCATATTTTACTAATAGCTCGAGAACCTACAAATTCAAAACCACACCTAACTATCGAGCATTTAGCATTATTCTATATTTACCGTCTGCTATCCCGAATAGCATTGAAAAACAAAGACAAAAAAAAACAGATAAGAATAGCATTGAAGAGGATAGGCAATAATGCTCCATTATAATTATCATTTGGCGGATCATTCGACTTTAAATATAGCGATTATGGCGATGTTAATTTCACGTGGAGAGTTAGACGAACGAGCGTTTGAACGAGACTCGAATTCATAAGCGAGAATGAGCAGAGAATTTAATAATCCGCGTCCTTAATTAAACGAAGATTAATAATTAGTCTAATTTAATATTATGAAAACGACAGACGTTGAGTGCTGCTCGGCCCGTGCAACTGCAATCCCGCTCAATTTACATTACTCTTTGTTACGATTCACGCCTATCGAATACGAGGCTGCGACGTGTCGAACGCGCGAACGATCTTGTGCAAATTAAAGGATGAGTGGGAGAGCGACGGGGGAGGAACATTGGCAATGCGTCGGTGCGCGTTAGAACGCTAGAATCGCGTCGATAACAATGCAAAGGAGTGACGGAATGGGAACGGGGCCGCGAGAGTTCTCCCTCGTCCTCCAAGGGAGGCGAGGACTCGTTCCCCTTCATTAAAGGGCGGGAGGTGGTCCCTTTGTGGCGCTTCCATCCTCGAGCTCTTATAATAATCCCGGGTGCGCAATAATCCGATGACTGCTGGCTCGTGTAAGCGATACGTCGCTCTCCGCGCTCATCTCATTCAGGAAAATCTCTGTAGCGCGAGACGAGTCCCGGGGCTAACCTAAACGCTCCACTCGCACAGAGCCATTGTCACGAGGACAGTAAGTACCTTTTATCACGTGCCCAACAGACTGAGGACCTGCCGAGCGATCCTTACCTCAAAAGCATCATCTTCGCGCTTCGTTCATCGCCTCGTTCTCACGTTCTCTTCCTGCGGCCCATCTCCCTGTGTCTCATCGACTACGTAATCTCGCCTGCGACCATCTTCAAAGTCTCTCCCTCCGCCCTCTTGTATTTGTCGTCCTTTGCGTTCGTTCCATTTTTTCGCCTTCCCCGCCTTCTATTCTACACTTCATTTGCCAGCTTCTTGTCTCTCGCTGTAAAGCGCGACTAAAATTCTGCCTTATACCTTTGCAACCAACACCTCCTTCCTTCGTCGACTCATGCACAAAACAAAAGTGCACACACACACACATATACGAATGAGAGTGTTTGCGCTTGTGCGCGAGCGTATTGCATGTATGGACGAATGGATAAGTGTAAAGAATATTATAACGTACGGGGAATGCAATTTTTATATCGAAATATGAAACTGGTCAAGGTGTCGGCGACGCGTAACATCTCGTGAAAAATGGGAGAAAGGTAATTTAATGATGCCCACGAATTTTAGAGCTACATGACATCTGCATTAGCAAGTGAGTCTCATCGATGATTCGACCCGATATCCTCTTCGGGCGCTACGGTAAAATAAACTTTGTCGAAGCGTCCCCCCCCCCCCGCACCGCCGCCCTCCGCCCACCACCCTCCGCCGTCATCCCGCGAAGATGGTCGGACCCGCGGGATTAACGTAATAATTGCTCCTCGCCTATTAAGGAATGGCCTTATCATCGTCCCCTAAACACAATACTAAGACAAAACTCATTGAAGTATAATTATCAGTGAGCGAAAATAATAATCGGCAGTGTAAAGCTCTCATCCTCGGCTCTCATGAGAATTGGTCCCATAGATCATCGGCAAAAAGGCAAGAGAAAAAAGGAACGAAATAGCGTTTTCATCGGTATGCCGTGGCGCCGCGCGCCAAGAATTCCTGTCGATCGGTCCCGGCTCTCATACGCACGACACCGCGTCGCCAGGAGGAAAGGAAAAAAAAAGGTTGGAAAAAAAAGTCGAGCGCCGCACACGCACGAGCTCGCGCGCACGTGTACGTTACAAGCGCGTATACATATCATAAGTGCGTCTATATCTGTAATACACGGGCATGAGGAACGCGAGTCTCGCGCATAGCCTCTCACCGAAACGCACGGGAGGTTAGGAGGGATCGAGAAGGGGCGCCGCGGCGGGGTGGGGCACGGCGGTCGTGGGGAACGGCGAAGGGGGTTAATGGGCGGAGGGGGAGGCGATGGAAGAGGAGTGGAGAGGAGAGCGGAGTAAGGCCTCTCGAAGTCCCACGCACAGGGGGTCTCTCTCGCTCTTTTCCTCGCATACAGGTTCGCCAGTGCCAAGGGCGGGCGGAGGGCGACGGGACGGGGGGCGAGATGTGGGTCCTGTGGCGGGGGGGGGGGGGCCCCAGACAGACTCGGACGGCGCCTGAAACTACTTTTCTTTGTCTTTGGGAGGGTGCCGCCACCGACGTCGTCTCTCTCTCTCTCACTCTCTCTCTCTCTCTCTCTCTTTCTCCCGCTTACGCTTACTTAGTCACTCGATCACTCTCTCTCTCTCTCTCTCTCTCACACACACACTCATTTGCTCACTCACTTGTTCGCTCACTCGCTCTCTCTCGCTCTCTCGCTCTCTCTCTCTCTCTCGCTCTCACTCTCACTCTCTCTCTCTCTCTCTCTCGCTCTCGTTCTCTCTCTCTCGCACGCATTTGCTCACTCACTCCGGCTCTTGGCCCCGTCAAGTCGCGTTAGACACATTCACCTCGCGCAGCCTCGTCGACTAATATCTGTGACAAGATCCGGGAGGGAGATAAACGCGGGCCCGACTGCGACGGCTGCACGGGACCCCGAAACTTACGATTTCACGACTAATTAACAGACGGTAAATTTCGAGGATGTATCTCGTCGACCGTTCGCCTTGCGATCGCTGCGGATATATAGACAAAGGCAGGCCCCCGAGCCTTTCAAGGATTTAATTCGACACTGCGAACGGGGATGACAGGGTATGACGGGATTAATGTGTCGTATGGGACCCGACGAGGAGACTTATGTCGGTATTGGGCGGGTTAAGCGATTCCTCCCCTTGTCCACTTTGTTTTACGTGTGCAGTTGTGGGAAAAGTGGGATGCACGAGAGTTCTGTCACTCTGACTCAACGCAGCATAATTTCTAATGGCTATCCTGTAATATTTAACAGATTTACTACAAGGACCAAGTCGCATGTAATTTCTCATTGGCATTGCTTTGGCAGCTTATGGCTTTCAAGATCGAAGATTTGGTTGGAAGCAAATTAACGGCTTTCGAAAGTCTTCTTCCACAACTTTTGATTATTCTTTACGCTCCTACTACATTTGATGTCTATTTTTACATTTAATGTTTTCATTATGCTTGAATTTATGTTTCGCAGTCTCTTTTTTTAAGCGAGCGTTCATTCGAATTAAGAGCATTGTACAAATAAAAATGGTCCCCGTAAAATATTTCTCTTGATAAATTCAAAAAAGAAGAAAAAGCCTGAATTGACTTCTTTCTATCTGATGTAGTCCTATTTTAATGACATTGAGACGAATAAAGTTCGATGCAAAACATGTGTCTACCACTGGTACCACTATCAACAACTCTCGATTTTTTAAATTGGAGAAACGGTATTATTAATAACGACCATCTCCAAGTATTATTTATAATGTATACATTGATTGATTCCTTGGGAATCTGTAAAAAAAATTAGTTATCGTGGATCGTCAAGAAAAATTAATGCCACGGACGCAATTAAGTTTTGGTTCTCTTCGTTTGATCTTTTATATCGTTGTGCGTGTATGGGTTCGATATCATCCTTCGTTTCTCCTTTTTTTTTCTCGCTCGTATCTCTCACTCTCTCTCTCTCTCTCTCTCTCTCTCTCTGTCTCTCTCTGTCTCTGTCTCTCTCTCTCTCTCTCTTTCTCTAGAAAAAACTCTCTCTCACTCACTCTCTCACTCACGCACTCACTCACTTTCATACAGGCACACGATGAGGTGCTGTGCGAGAGACAACACACATGGTCGCCCGATCGTTCGTTCACTCACTCATCTCTCCGTTCTTCACATGCACGAGTACTACCATTGAAATATCTGTTATATCCAGCTGCGTTATGAGTATTACGTAAATTTGAATATCCGATGATTTTTCAGGGGTCGTCTATATAATTTCCAACATCGTTCTCAGCTCGTTGGCGCGCGCAAAGTAAATTATACTCGACCAGTTAGCCGTAAATTATCGCTTGGCCGCAACTGGCCACAACTTCGATCACAGCGGAGATGAAAAGAAGTTTGAAGTCGAGATAATATTCGTAGGATGCACATATACTCTTACAACATCTATTCGTATTATCGACCGTATAACATGACCGAGCGAACGAAAGTTTTTTAATCAACTTCTATTTAATTTAATTGGACGATACGAGAATTTCTTTGTATATTGACGGGGCTCCGAGTAATTACGGGTAGATTGCGGAAATCAACAGTGATTAGATTGTTTTTTTTTGTCTCCCAGAACGCGACAGATTTACCCACGAAACTGATAAATGCCGCGGATGTGGAACAATTTTCTCGAAATCTAGCTGAAACGGAAATACAATGCTTGCTGCACTCTTTTCTTCGTAACAGTGTTGGCTATCGCCAGGCAATTCCTCCTGCACACCCGCGC